TATACATAACATTATAATGAGAACACTATTATAATAAAACGCTGTGAATTTTTTTGAGTTTAGCTGCAGTGTTTCTGCATGTTGTTGCGTGAAGAACGCGTCCACAAAAGGAGTTCATTCAGAGCCGCACAGACACGTTCGTGCATTCGGGGCATTTTGTGCAGATAGCCTATAAGTTGTAATATTAATGTTATTTTATATAAATAACGAAGTGTATTCTATATGAGATAAATGATGAGTTAAATCCCATTGATTAAAAACCTGCTGCATAATTCTACTGGTCATCTTCAGCGAAGGTTAGGTTTGTTCAAAACAAAAATGCAAAACATTAATTACTTTTATATAAATAACGTTATTATGAGAGCACTATTGTAAAAAAAATGTTGTGAATTCTTAGGGTTTCGCTGACGTTTAATGTTAGCTATCATTTAATCAAAACATAAAACATTATTTACCACGTTTGTATCCACGAGGCGTTACACATTTATTTTCCCTGTGTATTAACGTAATTATGACTGCCGAATGTCTGACTTGACTCTTGGTAATGTATCAAAACAGAAATGCAGAACATAACTACTGTCATACATACCATATTATAATGAGAACACTATTATAATAAAACGCTGTGAATTTTTTGAGTTTAGCTGCTGTGTTTCTGCACGTTGTTGCGTGAAGAACGCGTCCACAAAAGGAGTTCATTCAGAGCCGCACAGACACGTTCGTGCATTCGGGGCATTTTGTGCAGATAGCCTATAAGTCGTAATATTAATGTTATTTTATATAAATAACGAAGTGTATTCTATATGAGATAAATGATGAGTTAAATCCCATTGATTAAAAACCTGCTGCATAATTCTACTGGTCATCTTCAGCGAAGGTTAGGTTTGTTCAAAACAAAAATGCAAAACATTAATTACTGTTATATAAATAACGTTATTATGAGAGCACTATTGTAAAAAAATGTTGTGAATTCTTAGGGTTTCGCTGACGTTTAATGTTAGCTATCATTTAATCAAAACATAAAACATTATTTACCACGTTTGTATCCACGAGGCGTCCGTTACACATTTTCCCTGTGTATTAACGTAATTATGACTGCCGAATGTCTGACTTGACTCTTGGTAATGTATTTTGCCCCCGCCCCCAAAACACGATTCGACAATCAGTCGAATATCGGCAAGATTAGAAAATTCTGATTCGACTATGAAAATCCTTAGTCGGGGACACCCCAAATATATATATTTAAAAAACGTATATATATATATAGTATATAATACTTGACTTTATTGTGCACAATTCACCAAAAACTTTTATTAAAAAGAAAGAATTTGTGATAATAATGGTTTCATCAATTTATAAACACCTCCTCTGAAACATTTTTTAAGTCGTGTGGACAGGGGAAAAATATTAACTATAAATATCATTGCATTTCACAACTCATTCATATCCCAATGGATGAAATCAAGTCTGTCCCAACATTATTTTCCAGTGAAGATTCTAGTACGTCACACCACATTAGTCAAATATTATTTTAAGCACATTTAGACCACTAATAAAATGAAAAGACCAAGGTGGGAAAAAAAGAACAGACTGTATAGCGCATGCTCAGGTGTCCGCTGAGGTTAAAGGTCATATAATGAAGAGTAGGCACAAGACAGATGGTCACATATGGGCTGAAATGGGAATCATAATCAAAACAAAGGTGACATGTCCTGGCCAATGAGAGAGGTTGGGACTCAACAATAAGACCACCAGACCAAGACCATCAGAGATCAGGTTCAACTGCCAGAGTCACTAGGCCAGAAAATTCAAACTGAATCAGCCTCTGTTCCCCACTCAGACTGCCAAACTGAACTTTGCCACAGACATTTCTCCAGTTGCACCATAATTACAAGCATGATGCAACAGGGTTCTGTGGTGTGATGGAGGGGAAGAGGGATAGAGAGACTGAGGAAGAGGAGAAATAAGTGAAAGGTACAACTGGCGGTAACACAATTCTCAGCTGGCTCTGAAGAGGGCCTGGTCTCATTCGCAGTGAAGAAACTGTGCCAGGGAGCCTCATCCAAACAAAACAGGAGCTCAAGTTATGTGGGTTAATATTACGAAAACTGTCAAGAAATGTCTGGATCATACTGCAGTCCCAAATCAAAAGAAGAAGAATAGGAAATTATATTTTGCATTAAGAAAACCAAGTCTACAATTAAATCAGCCAAAATATTATTAAGCACCATTAATCAAACCCCTTCCCCAACTGTCAGTAGCATGCATATATATATATATATATATATATATATCTCAGTGGTGGGCAGTGGTGTTCTGAAATTAGGAGGCAAAGTTTTGTTTTTGTTTTTTTTAAATCAAATGTAAATTCAAGTCCCAGTCACATTTTTTAGGTTAAATAATTATTTACACTATCAGAAAAAAAATCTATTTTATACTTTTACATTAATTTAATCAATATTCTCATTAATTTAGTGTGTTTAAGCATTTTACATTTATTCCAAAATAATAACTCAAGGCAGTGACAGTGTAAACAATATATTTTATTTGTGAACTTATGTTCAGCTCTTCTTTTTAATAGTTAACTTTTAATCTTCGGATCATCAGTCATCAAAGCACAATAAATATTGGTCACAGACAAGGAGATATACATTTCCCCAAGCTGATTACTCACTAAAAACTCCCACAGATCATGATTTCATGCCATTTTAAGTATTATTTTGACGTAACAAAGTGGTTATATCTAAGTGTGATTTGTTTACTTACTTTTTTTAAATCAGTCTTCTCATTAACGCCATTATATTGTTCATTCAGACTGATTCGCGAATGCGCACGAACACAAGAGGCGGGATTTATCTGTCATAACCAGTTATATCCAATCATATCGCGATGAAGGCATTGCCTCCTCTCACGTGACTTTTCCCCATTTATTCTCAATTACCCCCACCAAACTCACCGCACGCTTTAGGGGGTCTGTTAAAACTCAATGGGTTTTAGGGCAGGCGATATATATATACATCATACAAATAAAAAATTTTTTTTAACAATTATTGTTCATTATTATAGTTTTGTATTACTGTATTACAGTTTTCCTTATCTCTTAATTTCTTTTTTAACAATGATTTTTTTTCATGTCACAGTAACGGAAAATGTAGGTGTAAATGTGCATAACTGTCATTAAAATAATATCATAATATGAAAAAAAGACAATAAATATTGGTCTTAAAATAGGCCAAATCAAACCTTTATGCAACATGTGAAATATAAGCCTAACATTTCTATGCGTGTGATTCACCCAATAGGTACGACCCTATTTTACTGTCTAAAAAGATTTGGTCTCATTCTGAGTGAGGAAACGGGAACCCTCATCCAAGCAAAACAGGAGCTCAAGCTATCTGTCAGATACACTCCTACTGATACAAACACACACTCTCTCGATCTCAGTCTTCAGTTCACAGCACCCTTCACCTTCCTCTTCCCTTTCTCAAAGGCTGTCATCCCTTTCTAGGAATTCCACTTCATTCTTTTCTCTGTTTAAGTCACCATCTCCCACTCATTCCTTTACTATCTTGTATGGTTTCTTTATCTCCCTCTACTTGTCATCTCTGAATGCTTGTCCTATTCTTTTCCATACCACCCTTAACACAGACAGACACACACGCC